CCACAAGCCGGGATGTCTTTGTGCCCAAAGGCTCAGCTGCCAAAAAACCCCCACACACACTTTGTGAGGACTCCTGCCAGGCGATGGGGCCTCTGAGCCTGCACAGAGTGCCTGGCCAGGAGTGCAAAGGCCCCTCTCGGGGGAGGGGAGAAATATATCCCCCGGCCAGACCCTGCCTTCCCTCTGACCTGCAACACCCCCACCCCACACCCGCTCTCTCTCTCTCTGCCCCCAGGAGGACCCAGGCGCGTCCGGGCCTTTGTGTGTGTGTGTGTTATTATTTCTATAGGTTGATGCTTTCCTCCCAAAGGAAGGAAAAATTTTTTTTAAAGTCCTTAAAACAGAGCATGAAGTGATCCATGTAATTATTGTTTTTTTTTTTGGGGGGGCTGACCTTCTGTTGCTTGGCAGAGTCAGCCCCAAGAGGAGAGAAGCCCCTTGGCGGATCTGGCTGGCCGACCCCTGCGTAAATCCCATGGAGTCAAAGGGGCTTCCTCTAAGGGCCACTTACCGCCTCAAGCCATCCGATGTCAATGATGGCCTGTTTTGAGGACATTAGAAACAATGTCATAGAACAATATGCCTTGAAAACAGAAGCATATCCTTCCTGGGGTGGGTGTGTATGTGGGGTGGGGGGGGGCAGAGAGATGTTTGTTGCCTCCCCAGTGAATAGGGATGATGGGTGATAATGGGGGGAAGTTCTCAGTTCACTGGGAGATATCAGGGCACTCTCGTTTCTCCCCCTCTCACCCCCCCCCAGAAAAAGGAATTTTCTAAGCCCTGGCTGTGGGGCAGGCACGCTCTGCACCCTCCCCGTCTGTGGCCGCCGGAACTCAGGGCCACTTGTCTTGTCCTGGTTGACCTTCCTGTCCGTTGGCTTGCTCTCCTTAGAAAGCCGCATGGGTTCATGCATCATCTTGCAGAAGGAAGATCAGGGTGGGGTGGGGGGGGACAGTGGAAAAAGGAGGGGTTGGCCTCTCGGGAGCAGGTTTTTGGCAGGCAGTGCGGGAAGGGGCCGAGGGGATAGTTTGGGCTGGTGGCTAATCTTTCCTCTCCCCCTTCCTCCCCTGTCTTTTCCCTGCAGATAAACTGGGGGGGGGGGGTTTCCGCCTCCTGGGCTTCCCCATGTCTACGGAGAGCTCCCCTTTGCTCAGCTACCGGCTCTTCCAGGTGTCGGGGGAGAGCGAGATGCCGGGGGCCACCCAGGAAGAGGCCCCCCTGGTGGTGGGGGTGGTGGGCTCGGCCTCCGGGGGCCCCCACCCCGATCCGGCCCGGCAGCTCTCCACCTTTTTCGGCGTCATCGTCCCCACCGTCCTCTCCATGTTCAGCATCGTCGTCTTCATGCGTGTTGGTAAGTGGGGGGGGGATCAGAGGAGGCATTTGGAGGGGGGGCTGCTCCCTAGGCATCCCCCCCAAAGGGTTTTTATTTATTTATAGAGGCCGCCTTTCTCCCGATAAGAGGACCCAAAGCGGCTCACCATATTAAAAGAACAGAATTAAAAATCTGATAAATGAAACATTTTTTAGAAAAAAACCAATAAAACGGTATGCTGATTAGAATCTGATGGAATAATTAAAAGCCAATAAACAGGAGGCCTTTGGGATAAATTTAGGCGGCCCTCTGTCCAATCCGCCTGGATTTGGATTCCTGCCTTGAGCAGGCGGGATAAATTTAGACGGCCCTCTGTCCGATCTGCCTGGATTTGGCCTGAGAGGCCCCCTTCCGACTGACACGATTCTATGCTCTCGATAGCCTGAAAAGGACCCCTTCCGACTGACACGATTCTATGCTCTAAACATTAAAAAGGGTCTCAACTTTAAAAAAAGGCATTCGGGGCCTCCGTCAGGATTGTTAAAAGTCCGAAGCCGCCCTCGGTTGGCGCTGCCTGCCCTGGGCCCCAAAGAGTTCAGGTATAACTTAGACACATGCCCCGGTAGGGTTGCTTTGTCCGGTGGAGCACCATTGAGAGGCACGGAGTCAGAGGATCTGCCTGGGTCGTTCTGCCCAGGGCTGTTTGTCCAGATCTGTCTCAAGATGCTTCTTTCTGACCTTTGCCACTGACGGCAATCCTGGGTGATTTTTGCCGTCTTGCAAAGCTTACGGGTTGGAGGTTCCCTGGACAGGAAGAACAGAAGTTGGGAATTCA